GGGTCCGGGCTGGATTTGAACCCGCCACCTTAGGTGTATGTGGCTGGTGCCTTAGCCACTTGAGCCACAGACGCCGAGCCCTCTTCTACTTTCTATTTGCTCTTCAAGTTCCTTGGGGAAAAAAACACAACAGGAACTTCCCACCAATTGCCTGATTTTTATCACTGGGCAGTCTATAACTGCCTGATTTTTATCACTAGATAGTCTGTTCTAAATCCCTGACTTCTTCTTATGCTTGGTAACTTGTTCATGAGGAAACTGTGGGATTACAAATAATCCAGTGTCCACATTATCCAGACTGAGAGCCTTTTATCTCTCTATATATCCTAGCATGGCCCCTTCCTTCCATCCTTTCCTTCTTCTTTCTTTTTCTTTTTAGGAAACTGAACAGTGTTTCTTAGGTTTAGAGAAAGTCCTTTGTGTTAGCCATTCCTGTTTACTTAAAGTTTGTCCTTGATCCCTCTTGCTTTTCTACAGCAAAAGACATTCCTTGAAAAAGCACCTGAGGTCAAAATATCCTGTTCTACTGGTTCTTCTAATATAAAACACTGTCACTTTTGCTATAAATCCACCCTGTTCCTATCATATCTGTGTAAAAATAGGGTTATTCTGTGTATGCATGGAGTGAAGTAATAGGGAAAAGGAGAAGATAGGTATAAAAAGGGAACTTAAGGGAAATGTCTATTACCTCTAATACTCAGGGTGAAGAATTATACTCCCTTTTCCTAGCCTGTTTACTTCATTTGAAATTATTGTTTCTATTTGCATTTCTCAGATAATTCTTTCCTCCTCCACCCCTTCCTCCTTCTCCTCCATTTACCCCCACACTGAGAACAGTATGAACCCTGAGTCTATATTACTCAAGTCTCTGAATTCTGTTGTGATACTGACTGATTTAACTCTCTCAACAGGACAATCATCTATCTCTCCCTGGTGTATGTGCTTGGCCATGTGGTCAAGTCCTTGGGTGCCTTACCGATACTAGGGGGACCCATGGTACATACGTGAGTAAAATCATGGAATTAATTAAACTACTTTTTCTATTTGACAGGTATATGTTTCAGGGATTCATTACAAGTGATTTTCTATTTTATAACCAAAGATGGTTTTTTATTTTCTAATGTGCAATTTTATTACAAATTAGTTAAGAAAAAAGTTTTATGACCAGTTGAACTCTTTTCTGCTTTATCTGACCTCATTTGTTTTGGGGACTTTTTTGAGGCTACCTAGTTAGTATTCACTTCATATATTTGAAAACAATTAAAATCCTCATGGTCTCCATATTCCCTTACCTATTCACTCATCCATGTGTGAATACTTCACCAGAGTTTTAAAAAATCTGTAATATTCCCTTATAATACATTGTAGAGGTCAAATTCAAAGCTTGGAATATTTCCATGTATATGTAGTTCCATGTACTCCAGTTGCTATTAATTCATGGTACTAGAGGCATTTGATAAATCTGGTGTTTGTTGGTTCAATAGGTAGAAAGGATTAGAATTGTCTAGGAAGAAGGTCATATATATTCATGTTATAATGTGCCTATGCCTGTGTTTATCCTATGAGTTGGGAAAATTTAACAAATATTAGATACCTTCTTATTAGTATACCATCAAAAATCTTTGCTTCTGTTAATTATGATGAATTTGAGCATTTTATTTTGTGGTTGGTAAGGGTATGTGGGATCAGGGTCCTCTATTAAGTCTTCAGGTTGAAGTGTCCCTTTGACTAAAACAATATTGAGAACTAGGGCATTAGCTCTGAAGTTTCTTTTGTATCTGCTTCCATCTGATGCACACAAGGGATAAATGGAACTACCAGGAATAAAATCTTTCTATGCAATGTATACTTTCATAAATATCGTAAATGCCCATAAGTATCTCCTAGAAGTGAAGGCAAATAGAAGGTACTCAGAAGGTAGAAATGTGAAGGGGATCTTTGCCCTTATATACATTTTTTCCCATCTAAATATAGTTGTATTTAGTATCAGCATGCTTACCAGCCTTACCTCTCCATTTCAGAGTCCTATCATTGGTCGGCCTGACTCTAATAGCTTTGGGGACAGGTGGTATCAAACCCTGTGTGGCAGCTTTTGGTGGAGACCAGTTTGAAGAAAAAGATGTAAGAATCTTGTTATTTCTGTATTTTCAAGAATATAAATCCTAAATTAAACGGGGTACCTGGCAGGTATTCATTTGCCAAGATTGAAGTAATCTACTGGTCTGATGCTATCTGAAAAGTTGTGTTAAAGGCTGGATATTGGTCATTAAGAGAGAAAAAAACTGAAAAAAGTTCAAAAGAAAATGACCAGGGTGGTAGATGAACTGAAAGATGTTTTATGAGGAAATATTGAGGGAAACGGGGGCAGGGTGGTATTTAGCCTAGATAAGAATCAAGGAGAATATTATAGCTGCTTATAGATAGGGAAAGGATGTCAGAGATTAAGCCTGAATCTGATGAGTGAAAGCTGCAGAAAGCTACCAGTTTGCTTGATGAAAAGAAAAACTACCAACAGAGTTAGAAGTAGTGAGTTCAAACTTAAGGCATTTAAGAAGAAATGTGATAAGCACTTTTGGAATGGGAGGTGATGAGTAGTGTAGAGACGATTTTAGTGTCTCTAGTTTTGAGATTCTAATGTAGAGGGAAATGATGAATTGAAATGAAACAGTATGAATTTCCATAGATGGATGAACTTGCCTGGCTGATCATTCCATCATCTCCTAAACACTTTCCATTGTCAATGGGGACAAAATAAGGCAATATGGATAAGGTAAAAATGGGCCTGTGGAAAGAAATGAGGAAACAGTGATAAATAGTCAAGGGAATAGTCTATTCTTAGGTCAGTCAGCATTTCTGGCTTCCTCTGTTTTGCTCTCAGTTTTCTTTTTTTGTCTGTACTAGTCCCTCTCCTCTAGCTATTTATCATTTTTGTGGTTTTTCTGTCTCTACTAGTCCCTGTCTGTCTCTCTCTCTTCCTTTCTTCCCACTGTCTCTCCCCCTCTCTACCCTCTGTCTCTCTGTCTCTCTCCCTTTACTTCCCTCACCCATCTTCTCTGTCATATCTATCTGCTATCTTTTTCTTCTGCCTCTATTTTCTCTCTGTCCTGTCTTCCTGTGTTTCTCTTACTTTTCAGACCATTCAGGTTATTTATACTCTTTATCTGTCCAAAGGTGCATAGATCATAATTGCTTTGAAGAAATAACCAACTTTTGACAAGTGAGCTAATTAGATGTACAATGAGCTAATTAGATGAGTGGAATAGGTTTCGGTGGAAACCAGAAGAGGAAGCAAAACACACTGTAATTAGAAAATGGGGAAGGACTGATTGTTCTAACATGTTAAGAAAAGATCTGAGTTGTCAGAGTAAAGCATGGCAATACACAATAAATGAAGCATCAGCAATTTTTATTTAAATGTTTTTTTATTTGATAACTGCTCCACAAAGATATTCCAATTAAAAGGACAAACCCACCTCCAAGTTTCCACCCCACTTCTAAGCCTACTGATTTCCTTTTATACTCTCTGGCACATATCCCTTAAGTTCTAGGTGAACTATTCTGCTTGATTAATGATTTACTCCACTGTCCTATGTTCTGGTCCTATTTCTTCCACACACTCCTGTCACAAAATCTATTATCTAACTCAGTCATTCACTTAACTAATACAGTCAATAAACATTTATTGATTCTCTAATCTAGATTAGGTACTGTGCTAGGTACTGGAGATAACAGAAAGGAGTAAGGTATAATTTCTACCCTAAAGTAACTCGTAATCTACTGAAACAAACACTCATTTAATGCAAAGAGTAGTAGAATTAATGTAGTTATGTATAGGACACACTAGTGGCACTGAGGACAGGATGATTATTTTTACCCAGGTAAAGGGGGTAAAAGAATGTTAAAACTGTTTGTAATGAAGTTTGAAAGATGAGTAAATATTTGGGGTCTTCCAGCCATGTTTTTAAAATATTTAATAAGATGTTCGGATACCATGGAGGCAAAATCTAAATCTATCTCTTTGAACATGTATGTACCTCCAGCTCTGAATTAAACATGGGATGGGGATAGAGCTAGGAGGCACATTACACTGATGATTTATCCTGTTTGTTTCAGGCAGAGGAACGGACTAGATACTTCTCAGTCTTCTACCTCTCCATCAATGCAGGGAGCTTGATTTCTACATTTATCACACCCATGCTGAGAGGTTAGGATCATTTCTGAGGGGTCTTGTATAAGGCTTTACTCTGCCCATCCAAAAAGTGTTCAAGGTTTCTTGCTGTCCATTTTTTTCACAAAAAATTGAAAATCTGTGAGAATTTCTTTTAGTCTTGATTTGTCTGGCCCAAAAAGAGGATTATGTATTAGGTGATGGGAGGATGGCTATGTCTATGATCTCAAGAACCTGAATTTGAAAAATAAAGTATCAAGGATTCGAGATTCAGGGTTTTCCTCCTCCCTACCATTTTCTTTAGGAGATGTGCAGTGTTTTGGAGAAGATTGCTATGCACTGGCTTTTGGAGTTCCAGGATTGCTCATGGTGATAGCACTTGGTAAGTGTAGCGGAGCGAAGGAAATTAATAATCATTGATGCCTGCTGCATGTAAAGCACACTGTAGGCACTTTACACAAACTAATTCTTTCTAGCCCTATTAGGTAAGTATTATTCTAGGGGATTTGTGGGGGATTTCCCTTGACTTTGGAAGTAGATCCTCTTTTTTCCTTTATTTTAAGAGACGAGTCTCACTTTGTCACCAGGCTGGAGTGCAGTGGAGTGATCATAGCTCATTGCAGCCTCAAGCTCCTGGGCTTAAGTGATCCTCCTGTCCCAGCTAGGACTGCCTGGTGTCAGGACTGCCATGGTGCCCACCATGCCTGACTAATCTTTTTAGTTTTTAGTTTTTGGTAGAGATAGACCTCACTATGTTATAGCTCAGGTTGGTATCAAACTCCTGTCCTCAAGCAATCCTCTTACCTTGGCCTCCCAAAGTGCTGGGATGGTAGGTATGAGCTCCCATACCCAGTAGACTTTGAAGATACATTCTAAATGAAGTTAGAAATATTTTTGAAAAGTACCCAAGGTTATACTACTAAAAAGACATCTCCTGAGGAACTTTTAAAAAGACCAAATTCTGGCCCCATAGAGGACCAATTAGGGCCTGGCTGTCCATAATTTTTTTTTAGTATCTTAAGTGATTCTAATGTATAGGCAAGGTTGTAATCCTCTGTTCTATACTACCATGTGAAATGAAGCAAGGAAGATAATTAATTCTCTCTCTCAAATTAGTTTATTTCATCTGATACTTATGTATCTGGTTATTAGAAGACATTTGTAATTCTCTAGGCCTTTTAAAGCAGCTTCTAGGTAAAGCTATTTCTGCCTTGCTCTGCAATGCTCCCAAAGAGTTAGCCCTTGAGCAAAGAGAGTAAAAGGAGTTGGATAAGTAGGTGGAAACTAATGCAACTTAGATCAAGTGACATTCTCTTTATCACTGAAAACCCAGTATTGGAGAAGGATGTGTAGTTAAAGCAGCCTAAGGGGAAACTTGGGCATGATTGTTTCTAATCACTGACCTGGAAACCTGTTCTCACTCTGAGTCTCAGGGTGACAACCCCTTGGAAGATATCCAGTCCAAACACATAAAGAGCTCACTAGAGGAAAGAGAGCCCAGAGCCTCAATATTCAGTCTGATTATTTTCTACTGGGGGACTGACAGTACTACTCAGAGTTCCCAGTGCCAAGGAAATTTATTCCAGGAAAGCTATGATATTATATTTCCCGCTTCCTTTTCCATTCAAAGAAAAGTGTTTTTCCAAATATTTTTCTTGTTTTCCACTGATTTGTCTCCTCTCATCATTGCATGATAATAATATTTATACATTAGAGTAATTATGAAGACTAAAAAAGATGTTGTAAGTGAAATGTGCTATACTTTATAAAATTGAACAACTGCTAGCTATCATTACTAGTGGGTTCAGTTTTCTGGGTGCTGATGAACAACTCAATTCTCTGACCTTTCATTATAATTTAATTAGTTAATTTCATTCATTTATTCAACAAACATTTATTTAATGAACCTATCGTGTGCCAGATTCTGTGCTAGATATTGTGGTCACACTGGTGAATTAGATAGCTACAGAGTTCATGCTGTCAAGGAACTTACAGAGTTTGGTAGAGACAGGAAGACAGACAAGTATATAGGAATGTATGATTGATCATTATCACAACTGGGAAATGAGAGCTTTAGGCACACAGAAGGAATGTCTGATGAAGACTTTAAACACTGTAAAAAGTTTGCATAAAGGTGTGACATCTAAAGTGAGCTCGGAGGGCTGAACAGCAGTTAATCAAAGAAGAGATGGTAAGTTGTGCAAAAAGAGAATATGATATCTGTAAGACAAGGAGGTGAAAGATAGCATGACCTGTTTAAAGGCCTTGAATGAATTCATATTACCTAGAGCAGTGTTTTTCAACCTTTTTCATCTCACAGCACATGTGAACCTATAGTTACACTTCTACTGCACACTTAAATTATGTTGATCAAAAAACAAAAGAGTTAAAAAAGAACATACTATACTTACTGTGCTTGAAATTCTTTTTTTTTTCTTTATTATTATTATTATTTTTGGCTGGGGTGGTGGGTTTGAACCCGCCACCTCCGGCATATGGGACCAGCGCCCTACCCTTTTGAGCCACAAGCGCTGCCCTTGAAATTCTTTTGAAAATAATTTAACTAATGATCTTGAAAATTTTTTCATGGCACACCTAAGATCTTCTCACGGCACACCAGTTAAAAATCACTGACCTAGAGGGTAATGAGAAAGGTAAAAAGGAGAAATAGGCAAAAACCAGATAATGAAGGACCTTTTAACTACTAACTAGAACTTTATTATGAGGGGCTCCAAAAAGGTTTTGAATAGAGACATGATTGTTAGATTTTTATTTTTCAATGATGATTCTATAATGTGGAGAAGGGATTGTGTTAGGAGTGAAACAAGAATGTTTATCTTGATTACTGAATTTTTGGCACTCTCTTAAATTTTGTGCTTGAGGTGAGTACCACATTAGGTCATACTAGTTCTGACCCTGTTATAATTAGTAAATCTTGGTATATGAAGTGAAAGAGAAGATAAGCCAAAATTAAATGTAGGGTTATAACTTGAATAACTGTATAGATAGTGGGTCATTAGCTGAAATAGGTAATGAGGAAGAACAGGTTTGGGGCAATGTTTTGAACATTAGTTTTGAACATGCACTTTAGATGTTCTTAGAAAATCTAATTGGAGTTATAAAACAGTTATTGGGAAATACAGGTTTCAGAGCTCAGAAGAAATGTTTGGTCGGTAGATAGACATATAGATCTAGGGTCATTAGTATATGGGTAGCAATAAACTGTGAAGCTAGATAACTAAGAACTAATAAGAGTAAGGTAGAAAGGAGCCCTAAGAACATGAGGATTTAAAAGTTAGGCAAAGAAGAAAAGGTCACAAGTGGGACTAAGAAGGAACAGCCAAAGTGGTAACCATGTTATCTTGGATACTAAGAGAATTTGAGGAAGAAGAGGTTCGTTCAGAGTGACAGATATTACTGAGTGTGAAATTGAGATTAGTGTAAAAAATATCTATTAAATTAACAAGGAGTTTGTTGATAGGGTGTTATCAGTTATGTTAGATTGATGAAAGTTGAAGGGTGATTGGGACTGAATGGGAAATAAAGAAGGGATAAGAACATGAAAACAGTAAGTATTTATAACTGGAAGGTGACATGGACTCGAGAGAATATTGAGCATGCTTGAATGTTATTAGGAAAAATCCAATAGAGAATGAGGTTGAACATATAAGATAACCTTGGATAGAAGGAGGAACATTGCCTTCACCTAACTGGAGAGAGGAGAGAATGAATGTTGATACAGGATCAATAGATTTGGTAGCAGGAAGTCGAGGGAGGGAGTTTCATTTCAAGGCCTATTTTCTTTGTGAAATAAGTGGCAATATCATATACTAGAGACAGTAGACGGTGGAGAATTTTAAGATTCCTAATCATCTTCTTTAATTGGTCTTGAAATTTAAGTATGACTTTCATGGATTACATAGTCTTCTTTATATTACTCCACTAACACTATTGCAATCAGTCTTCCTGAGGGGTCCAAACTTTCTAGGATCATTCTTGGTTTTAGAAATGTTTTATTTTCCATCTAAAATCTTCCCCTGGTCTAGGTACCTGTTTTTTTTTTTTT